TAAGTGTGATAATTTGTTTATGAATTCCTCACATGGATTGCCAGGTAAAACCATATATGTCTCTTCGTCACTAAGTAGTCTCTTACTTAGAGTTTTGTAGTCCCGTAAATTCATGACTACCAAACCTTGTCCCTTGTCTGCTGCTCTAATCACAATATTGTCATCCTCCATCAGGTTCTTTAGGTCTTTTCTTTCTTTTTTTGGTCAATATATCCCTAAATTAGTTTTTTGATTTCTTTCTCCATCTTTTTCTCAAAGACCTTAATAAAGTTGTTTTTAGCTTGTTGGGAATAAAAACTGATTTAGGGTGCAGATCTGCATGTTCATATGATGTGGATTCTTCATTTCAATTGAATCGATTTTCTAGAAAAAAAATGTAACTGTCAACTTTCTAACATATTTGTGCAGATCTATATACATATTAAATGTAGAATTACCAGGATTGGGGGCAAATTTTAAACCTTTCGGGTTGGAGTTCTTCCATGGTCAAAGTACGATCTGATAAATTGAAGACCCCTATTGCTTCTGTATTCTCTTACTGTGGTTGCTTGTCTGATCTTCTTCTGTCTTTTCTTATTCTTTTTCTTTGTATTGGGGACCAATTTGGATCGCTCCTCTCCCTTTTTTTTTTACATCTACATCACTGGACTGATATGGCTACAATCTCTACATATATTTATATATACTCCAAAAACGTTTTAAAGTATAGGCTGCACTTTCGGTCTTGTGAGTAAATTAAATATGCTTTTTATTCCATGAAAAATGATCGACATTTCGGTCCACGCAGGGACATTCCTCAGGATCAAGTGGTATAAGAATGACTGCAAATTACTTCAAATATACAGGGAGTGCAGAATTATTAGGCAAATGAGTATTTTGACCACATCATCCTCTTTATGCATGTTGTCTTACTCCAAGCTGTATAGGCTCGAAAGCCTACTACCAATTAAGCATATTAGGTGATGTGCATCTCTGTAATGAGAAGGGGTGTGGTCTAATGACATCAACACCCTATATTAGGTGTGCATAATTATTAGGCAACTTCCTTTCCTTTGGCAAAATGGGTCAAAGAAGGACTTGACAGGCTCAGAAAAGTCAAAAATAGTGAGATATCTTGCAGAGGGATGCAGCACTCTTAAAATTGCAAAGCTTCTGAAGCGTGATCATCGAACAATCAAGCGTTTCATTCAAAATAGTCAACAGGGTCGCAAGAAGCGTGTGGAAAAACCAAGGCGCAAAATAACTGCCCATGAACTGAGAAAAGTCAAGCGTGCAGCTGCCACGATGCCACTTGCCACCAGTTTGGCCATATTTCAGAGCTGCAACATCACTGGAGTGCCCAAAAGCACAAGGTGTGCAATACTCAGAGACATGGCCAAGGTAAGAAAGGCTGAAAGACGACCACCACTGAACAAGACACACAAGCTGAAACGTCAAGACTGGGCCAAGAAATATCTCAAGACTGATTTTTCTAAGGTTTTATGGACTGATGAAATGAGAGTGAGTCTTGATGGGCCAGATGGATGGGCCCGTGGCTGGATTGGTAAAGGGCAGAGAGCTCCAGTCCGACTCAGACGCCAGCAAGGTGGAGGTGGAGTACTGGTTTGGGCTGGTATCATCAAAGATGAGCTTGTGGGGCCTTTTCGGGTTGAGGATGGAGTCAAGCTCAACTCCCAGTCCTACTGCCAGTTCCTGGAAGACACCTTCTTCAAGCAGTGGTACAGGAAGAAGTCTGCATCCTTCAAGAAAAACATGATTTTCATGCAGGACAATGCTCCATCACACGCGTCCAAGTACTCCACAGCGTGGCTGGCAAGAAAGGGTATAAAAGAAGAAAATCTAATGACATGGCCTCCTTGTTCACCTGATCTGAACCCCATTGAGAACCTGTGGTCCATCATCAAATGTGAGATTTACAAGGAGGGAAAACAGTACACCTCTCTGAACAGTGTCTGGGAGGCTGTGGTTGCTGCTGCACGCAATGTTGATGGTGAACAGATCAAAACACTGACAGAATCCATGGATGGCAGGCTTTTGAGTGTCCTTGCAAAGAAAGGTGGCTATATTGGTCACTGATTTGTTTTTGTTTTGTTTTTGAATGTCAGAAATGTATATTTGTGAATGTTGAGATGTTATATTGGTTTCACTGGTAATAATAAATAATTGAAATGGGTATATATTTGTTTTTTGTTAAGTTGCCTAATAATTATGCACAGTAATAGTCACCTGCACACACAGATATCCCCCTAACATAGCTAAAACTAAAAACAAACTAAAAACTACTTCCAAAAATATTCAGCTTTGATATTAATGAGTTTTTTGGGTTCATTGAGAACATGGTTGTTGTTCAATAATAAAATTAATCCTCAAAAATACAACTTGCATAATAATTCTGCACTCCCTGTATACCCATAACCATTAAGAATAAGGGACATACCCCAGGTGTTGTGCTTTACCTCCGGCGTTCCCTGCCTTACACCACGCATGTGCGGAAGCCATGTAGTACACCTTTGACCCATGATGCATGCGTTGTGACGTAACACAACGCCGTTGTCCCGGCAATGTTAGAAGCATTTCCATAGGAACTGCTTATGAATCAAAGGGATGAATAAAGATGTGCCGTGAAACACCTCCGTGTATGTGAAAGAAAGCTTGGAAAGAATAATAGTTAGATTTTCATAAGTTAAGAGTTAGTATTCTAAGAGACTTCTCCCGATAAGCATGCAAAGCTACTATGTAAATAGTGCCTTTCCACAATAAGATCAATTAAAATTACCACCCAAAGTAAAGTGCAAAAAATTATTTAAGTGCACATATTTAGAACAGATACAATTCTCATATTTACATTAACTACTTATTTACATAAGTTCACTAACAGGGTGCATGGATTTACATGAATAATGAATCCAACCATTTTGCAATTGGTTCCAACACCCCCCCCCCACCGCCGAGACTATCGGCCATCCAGGAGGATGTGTTGGATCTTTGTGCAGTTTGGGGATGGTATAAATAACCATTATTTTGGGGTTATACACGTATATTATCAACTAAAGTCTTGTACTTATAGTTACTGTGAGACATTCCTGGAGCTTGAACCATTTAGAGAGATTGAACATGTCTCAATTAACATAATAGGGTTTTCAATTTAAAGGGTTAAGACTAAGAATTCCTTGACTCATAACTTAACTATGGGATTTATTGTATGGAACCACCTTTGTTAATGTGGGATCATACAGATTATTTATATAAAAACACCCAGTAACAAGTGCATAGGAGTTGTAATATCTTAAGCAACACCTGCACTTAATTATGAGCCTATGTCCCACTATATAGAAATTAACATGGATTTGTGAGATTTTGCCTATATATTTTTAAAGTAATCTTAGTGCTTATTCATTGTTATTCATTGTCTTTACACAGGTAACATTTTTAATGTGTCTGTCATTTGACCATATATCAGCATCAATATTTTTTTTTATCATGAATCATTTAGCTCCATATTCAGATTAAGCCATTTGTGCACGCTGGGCTCTTGCCAGGAATGGGCATCATTATGCACCTATTTACTATATAGTACTTGTAGGATATATTTGTTTAGTTTAATAAGTATTTATGTTTTAGCAATTTAATGCTCACTGGAACAAGGAAATTTAATTAAAATGAAAGCCATCTGAGAGTTCAATAAAAGCAGCCTCCTAATGCAATACCGACTCCATTAAGCTATATCATAAATTATTTCATGTCATACAAATAACTATGAAGAATCAAAAAGTTAGCAATATGATTACATTGTTCTACCTAAAACATGAACAAAGAAATGCAAAATAGGAAATCGCAACCAATTTGCATGCTAATGATACATAAGCGTATTTTGACTTAAATTCTATTAAAGTCTATAATGGTTCTTTCTGTCTTTTAAAAAAATAAATATATAAATATTTTCATGAATCAGATTCCTACATAAACAAAAGGCTTTACAATGTTTCCCCATTAAACCTAAAGATAAATAAGAATAATTAAATGTACCTATTCCATCTGTGTTCGACATTCTTATTTTTATGTTGGTTATGCCACCTCATATTGGTTGCACTTTCTCTCAAAAAATTTAAAAAACAAATGGTAGCAAATAGAAATGTATACAGATAAAAAAAGTACTTAATATAGAAGCTTCCTTCATATAATATGAAATTTTGAACATGGAAAATGCATCTATAGGAAAAACAAGTGAATGTGTGCAAGTAAGTGCTTGGTGTATGTGTGTTCCTCGTCTATTTTATGTTCTACCATAGAGAAAGTATTTATCAACATTTATGATAGTTTTACGCAAATTCAGGAGAAAGGGAAGAGCAATGCCAGCTGCTGTAATTTACCATGAGGTAAAGTCATATCACTCACATGTGAATTCAGCTCCGGCAACATCTCTCAACTGTATGTTATCATTGCATGGAAAGCTACCTCAAGAACTGCCTTATACCCAAAAGGTTTCATAAAGAAGCTTAATCCTGTGAAGGAAGATTCTAAAAAAGACTGGAGTTTTAGATTATTGAAGACAGAAAATGAAGTTATAGAAATAATTTGAGCAATTATACCATTTTAAAAAAAACATGATTGCAGTTTTCATTATAATAATTATATTCTGCTGCTTAATTTTAAACATCTACAGCGCAGTACAGTAAAAAATGAATTTATAAATACTGCAAATGTAATGTGTTTGTTCAACCCAATTTCTATCTTTTCTAAAGCAAAGAATAAGTAAAAGTTCACAATATTATTTTTTTTTTTAATTTGACAATTTTTTTTCTTCAGATTGCTCAGCTCTGGGTGGTACAGAAGAAAAAAGGGGGAGGTGGGGCAGCAATGAAAGTTAGTGCATATAAATTTCAGTAACAATATCAAGGCATGCGATATTTCAAGTTTCCACAGTTCTTACATATTGATAGTTTATTTTGTGAAATGACACATAATCACATATTGCACATTACAGGTTCCATAGCACATACCCGATTAGTGTGGGCTGGGAATGTGGCGGGGTGTAGCCCGAAGGCAGGGATTTGGCCTGTGTTACCAATTCCATTGCATGATGGGGGTGGGTTTGGAGGCGGGTGGAGGGGGAGCATTGGAAGGGGCAGAGGGGCTTGGGAAAGGGGAGGGTGGGGGATGGTGATGCAGTGTAGTTCGGGTGGTTGGTCTGGTGCTGTCCTCACATTGAGCCGAACATGTATGAAGATGTTGTGCCTCCAGTCGGGGTGGTTGTGGGCTCCTGCCTGTGGTATGTGCTTGTGTGTTAGTTTTGTCTGGGTTTGTATTCTTCCCACATTTCCCATGCCATCGTTCAGCATCATTTTCCTTGCCATAGTTTCATAGGCTTTGGTAGTCTCAACCGCATTGATACATTGGTTGATCGTAGGGAGAGATGTCTGTTTCCACTGTCTACTGATGACAGTAAGGGCCGCAATGATGAAGTGGTATAGTAGGTACCTTTGACAATTTTGCGATACGTGTGGCAGCAGAAGGAGTAAAAAAGTTTCGGGCAGAAAAGGCAGGTGCACTTTAGCGCATTGGATTGCCAGGGCTGATACATGCTTCCAATATTGTCGGAGCCTCGGGCAGTGCCACCATATATGTATCATGGTTCCTCGATCCGCTTGGCATCTCCAGCATACATCAGATGTTTCAGGGAATCTGTGTTTAAGCTGTGTGGGGACTAGATACCATCTATAGAGTAGCTTGCAGGATAGTTCCATATGTATCGTGCAGAGAGTTAGTTGTTTGTCGGCTTTGAAGATATCTTGCCACTGGTCATCTGGGATTGGGTGTCCGATATCTTTTTCCCATGCTGATTTGAAGGAGGGGGGGTTAAAGTTCACTATATTTTTAAGGATAAGGTTTGAAATTGGATTGTTCATATAAACAAAATGACAGAACTCTTTGTCTCGGAGATTGTAAGAGTATAACTAATTTCCATTCAAAAATGTAATATATAAGAAACAATATTATTATAATATATAAAATATTTTTACATTTATTTGTTTTTAACTAACATAGTGCATTAATGTTGATGGTATAGATATCTCCTTTGGAATTCATCTTCACTTTCTATTTCTGTAAACCAAAGCTCCTAACCGGTTCCCATCTGCAATCATTGTAGTAAGTATCCAAAACAAGCTTGTCAACATACTCTTATGATGTTCATCAAATCTCAAAAGGAATTCTATAAGAATTTCAAATATCCAGTGTGGGTTTAAAGGTCAAGGAGAAAGGATCTCTCTCCAATAGTAAAAATAATAATGACAAATGTATCTTCAAATATATATTCAATTCAATAACATTTTTTTCTGCTCGAAGATGTATTTGTTTTGCAAAGTAGCCTTACTTTATCAAGACACTGATAACTTTTGAAAAAGTATAACCTTTATTCAAAACAAGCTTATTGTTCTAATGCTGAAATTATTGCATTGTCCTTTGTAAGTAAATTTACCTTCGTCCTTGATATACATTTTTTTTTTTTTACTTTTGATGCACTCACAAAGTTTTGACTGGTCCTAACATTTATGAATAAATATTAACTTTTTTAGAATTCTTCATACAGCAATCATTATCAAAATAATCTGTTTCTCTATAAGCACAAACTATTGTTTTCTCATTATTGTATTGTCCTCTGTCTACTTAATCTCATATGCTCCACCCAAGACGCAATTAGATATCAAGTCTATTGAATACATAAACCTAAAGAAGCACAAATATGGGTACATTTATGTGTTTTGTTCTGGTCCATCTAAGATGTTTTTGCCATTAAAATCTTAACCCCAAAAAGTTTTTTAATTCCATAAATTCTAAAAAATTTGTAGGTTTACTGTAATTAGATAACAATACAAAAACAATACAAAAAAAGTGTAGGTTTACTGAAATTAGAGATGGGTTTGTTAGTATTCAGTTTGACAGGAGATCGGAATAGGCAGAAATGTGAAATAATTTTTCTTCCGTATATATCGAAGAGGAACCTATAGCAAGAGATATGCACATAACTGCTGTAAAAACATGCAGAAAACTGTGATGTATATTGCACTTTGGAGTGAAGAATGCACAATCAACTTACACCTTAAATGATAGTGAATTAAAGAAAAACCACAAGAGCAGGATTTTAGCATGGTTATAGACAACAAACTAGGTAACATTGTCCAATCTCCATCAGTAAGACTATGGCCAGTAATGTATCATCATACATAAAAAGAAGCATTTATTCTCAGGACGAGAATATAATTTCTCCTCTTAATAAATCAATGGTAAGATCTCACCTTGAATATGCCATACAATTCTGGGCACCTTATCTAAAGAAGGATATTATGGCACTGGAAATGGTTCAGTGTCAAACTACAAAATTGACTATGAAGAAAACCTAATAAATTTAAATATGTTTAGTTAAGAAAAATGGCACCTCATATGATAACATTACACAAATTGATTTGGGGCCCACATAAACCATTGTCTGCAAATCTATTCATAAGTAGAAGATTTAGTCTAAGGCAAAAGAAAAGTTTGTTTTTTTTTTACAGTAAAAACAAAGATGTACAGATGTATAAACTACTGGATGAATTTTACAAAAACATTATATCTAGGGATATAATTTGAAATATGCAGAGTTTCAGCATCTTGGTCCAAAGAGTCCTGACTGCTTTTCTGTCGTTGAGAAAGATTTTTTTCCTAGTGTGTTGCAACATTGGAAAGTGCTTCAGACTGTTTTTTTTTGTTTGTTTTTCTTTAAATTCTTTTGGATAAACAGCAAAAACGGATGTGAGAAAGGATGAACTTTGTATTCTTTTATTCAGCCTATGAAACTATGCAATTATATGATATCCAAGCATATCGAAATAGAAAATAAATGTATACATTTGTTTCAGATTATGTTATTTTTTTCTTTTTGTAAATTACCTTTTTTCGTTTTGTGTAACGTTTTCCTCAGTCTTGTTTTTTTAACAGCATTAAAATGATAAAACGTTTTTCAAAGCGTATAACCAACTTACACCCCAGGAATGGACAAAACATAGATCCCCAGCTGTTGCAGAACATCATCTCAGCTGGTGAACTACGTTTTGTCCACCCCTGTTATAAACAAAGTAATTACCTAATAAAATGCTTATTTGAGTGCTCATTCAAACTGCTCATTACTGGAGAATAAAGCAAAAGATTAATATATTATTACTCAGTAGTAAGACCTAAATAAACAACATATTTAATAATAATTTTTATTAAACACTTTGTAATAATACAATAACGCTACAGATAAGAAACAAATGGGCATTTTATTCTAATCTATACACCTAAAAAAAAAATATGAATTTGTTTCTATTTTAGCATAGTCTTAATTATATTTCAGTAAATGTTGAAATACTTGTTAGTTACTTTTTTTTTTTAAAAGGCTGCTCTGCTTTGTGTGTATTTGAACTTGATGATGCAAGTTTGTACAGGCACAGTAGGAAAAAAGACAATGAAAGCAATCTCTCAGACACTGTAACAGCAAATAATAAATTCCAGAAAATAATTACAATATAGTTTGATGAAAGGATATGCACATACAAAGCTGCGAATAAAGATTGCCGTTATGTAGAAGCAAGAGTTAGAACCATTACCAGTTCCATTTTGGAGCTTAACAGATCAGTGTCTATTTTTTATACTTTCTGGTTTTGGAAGGTGATCACTTTTGACTCATTCTTTTTTTGGGATTTTTTTGCACATTTGGGGGAATGCATGTTGCCGAAAAATAGGAGACCGTGTTTGTAATACTTTTGGAATTGTTAGATTGTAGGGTGGCTTGACAGATCATTGCTTGAAAGAGTGATAGTAAACATAATCAGAATTATCGAATAATTATTTTTATGACATCTGCCTGTCTATGTGTATGTGTTTGAAAATATTTGGAATTAATTGAACTGACAATTATAGCATAACCAATTTTGGCACCAGCAAACTGTGAAGTCAGTGTTCTATGTCAACTTTTTAGTCCACCTGAGCTTTCTTTCAGTTTCAATGGTTCTGACAGTGGTGTATCCTGGTTTTGTGCTGCCCTAGGCAGGACAAAACTCAGGCGCCCCCCAACCCACCCCACCCCCCCGCGCGCGTGACCCCCACCCATCCCTTCCCCCGCCCCGCCTTCTAAATACACACACACACTGACAGATACACATACACTAGCTAACAGAAACACAAACTCACTGACACACACAGACACACACTAGCAGACACACACACACTCACTGGCAAACATACACACACAGTCAAACATACTCACTCACTAGCAGACACACACACTCACTGACACACACACTCACAGGCAAACACACACACACTCACTAATAGACACACACACACACTAACAGACACACTCACTCACGGACACACACACACTCACAGACACACACACTAACAGCGGGCGGCTGGCGAGGGAGCTCTTCCTCTGAACGGTCTGCTCAGCTTCCTCGCGCGCTGCACAGTGAGGCTGGGAGCCGGAAGATGACATCCTAGCCTCACTCTGCAGCATGCGAGGGAGCTGAGCAGACCGCACAGAGGAAGAGCTCCCTCGCCAGCCGCCCGCCCACCCGATCAGCCAGCGCCGCCCAGCATGTCTTTTAGCCGCTTGCCCTGGGAATTTGGGGGGCAGCTTTTTTTGCCGCCCCCTGAAAAATGCCGCCCAAGGCATATGCCTTGTTTGCCTCGTGGATAAAATGCCCCTGGGTTATGATATATATTGTTTTGACCTTCTTTGGTCTTCTTTGGGCATCAAAGTGAGCGAATACCCTTCTAGGCACAGTGAGCATGGGGTCAATGTCTGGATTACCATTTTTACTTGGGGAGACCCAAGTTAATGCATTGCAACAAAAACAGAGAATATGAGTTCAAAAACCTAGAGAAACTCAGTAGCTTGCCCTTTGTTAAATCCCAGCTCAGGTCTCAAAATAGTTTTTGCTCACTTGTGCCATTACAAAGAGAACCTATTCCAAAGCATATCAGACTAATCCAACCCATAAGGGCAGTCCAGAACCGAAATGCTGGCAAGTTCTCTTGTCATGAGACATACAGCAACCCCAGATTGATCATATGTATATATACACATTGCTGTGAATCCTTGCACCCAAGCTGTATAAATGTTTATAGCCTGGTGCAAAATTGCAAGCAATATATGTACATATATATATAGGACATGAGCAATAGATGCCTTAGGCCCTGCAGGTTGCAAGATGGGACCTCCATCAATCGTAGTCAATCATTTGTAGTTCCAGCGCATCCCACGGATGCTTAATCAGATTAAGATCTTTGTATTTTGGAGGTCTATGCAACATCTTGAACTCTTTGTTAATACATGGGAATATTAATATTTGAATATGTTCATATTTTGAAACTTTCATTTGTAAGAATGCCTGTTTAATCAATCAAGATAATAAATACATTATTAAAATATCAAATAATATATTATAAAAAGAGTCCTTAATTATTCTGTTCACTTTCAAATAAGTGGAGAAGCCAGGCTGTTTTGCTTTTAGTGTCCAGTGCAACACTGTATCCTCTATATCCAATGGATAGATGTATTCAGGAGGCCTTCAAGGATACAAGGAAACAAATATAGTGTAATACTGTAAGCTTTATTAAAATAAACCCTTCTAGCCCCCTTAGCAAATAGTAAAATGTCTTAATATCTCCCTCTTTTTTTAGTTTTTAGCCATATAAAATTACATTTCATATATAGCTATTTGATGTGAAAGGAAAGCCCTGTTTCTCCTGACATCGTCAAATTTTAGCATTTGTTTTGATTTTGTTTTGTTCAGAACATGGTCAATTGCTGCCATACTTAGAGTTAAACCTAAGTTGTTTTGATGCTTAATGTAACCCTTTAACCAATTTACTACCAGAATCGAGTATAAACATTTTTACTTTCATATATTTTGCTGAATTACATTTAGACCATAATGCCTCACTCACCCTCATTTATACTCTAGAAATGTTTACGAATCTGTATAGGAACAAACTTCTCTGCCATAAGCCACTGGTCATTGATTTAATATCTGCAAGTTTACTGCAAATGTTTGCACATTCCTTATTTCCAAACAGTGAAGAACATTTGAATTGGATATATCATTCCTACAGTCAGGGATGGGAAAGGGCTTTACCTCTATTTCTACTTCACTATTAGCATTACATTGGTATTCCAGAGCTTGATAAAGATTGCTATAAGTTTTAAATAGCTTTATTAAAAAAAAATATATGATTTGCATGTATTTACTGTATGTGGGCATCACGCTGGAATGAAGGCATTATACATTTTTTTGCCATTTTTAGTAAGCTGTACTGCATTAATGTCTTCATTGTCCTTACAAACACATATAAACAGTGCTTTTTACCATTTTTAAAAATCATTTTTTTTTCTCCATATTTGATGTATGTGAGAAAAATAGCATTTTTGCTTTTATACTTATATTTTAGACCCTGTATGAAATATTGCAAGATACAGGATAATGCATGGTTTCTAAAGCTCCTTAATTAAAAAAAAAAAAAAAGGTATTTTCATTTTCATTCTAATCTAATTATAGTCTGCTTAGCACTCTATACACAAAATAACTATTTTGTTATTGTTTTATGTTTACGTGCTAGTTATGCTTCAAATAAATGTGCTAATAATTTTTTCAATTAAAAAGCATTCTATAGTGAAGGGTTTAGCAGTTCTAGGATAAAGAGGAAAAAAAAGTTCAACAAGAAAGAAGTGAGGGCGAGTGGAGGGAACAAAAGGAGAAATAGAATGATATTATGGTATGTGCAGTGGCATAGATTTGGAGGCGGGACAGGGGTAAAGAGATGGAGACTACAGCCATTCTTTATAATTGATAGAGCTGGTGTTTCTGTACAGATTTGTACAGCCTTGCAATAAGGCATTCTGTGTACATTATACAGCTAATCTTATTATATGGGTCTTCTCTGTCTGGTGCAGAGAATTTACACTTCTTATGATACTAAATGTTTACTTGAATTTTCCGGATCAAAAGGAAAAGTAGCATGTTAAGTTTACACAATGAGAAAAAAAATGCTACCCCCAATTTTTTTACTTTAGCTGTACTTAATTAATATGCAATTTTCTTGTTTTTATGTATACTATGTATAGCAATATTTATTCAGTATTCCCCATTGTTAAACATTCTTTTTTTATGCTTCCTTTTTTTCCCCTTTATTTAGTATTTTCCCTTTTATGGTATCTTCACATATGTTTTGGAAAGTGTATAAAAATTGTGTTAACAGCAGTCTAGTAGTTGGGGGGCGTGTTAGGTTGGTTATTATACATGAGTTCTCGGCTGAAAATACAAATTGTGACAACCAATAAAATACAAGTAAGGACTATGTAACTGTAGATGGAATAAGCAAGATGGCTTCTGATGAAGCTCACATGATTGGAGTGAAACGCGTCATGAACTCAGCGTCTTGCATCACTAGGAAGAGGTTGAGCAAATCTCGGCATGTGGATGCATTGTGGTAAACTACCACAAGAACTTTCAAAGAGCGATGGAGGATTTGAGACAAATTTATATGTGATTGATCTTTTTATTCGGAACTAATTGTGTTTTTAACCGTTGAGTATTAATAAATATTGTACAATGTCACCCTATTGGCATTTTCCTGTCTTCTTTTTCCTTGTTATATGACAGCACACTTGAAGAACCTGGGATCCTAAGACTGAGTGTTTTTTTTCCTCTCTTTATTTATCCAGTGCCAGGATTTTGTGGCTCTGGTGAAAGTGAGTTTGTTTTTAATGGGGTTTTAAGGGATTTATTTTATTGTTTACAAGTATTTTCTGCATTATGTAGTGTTTTTTGATTTTCAGACACATTGGAATTTTACATGACTATGTAAGAACATGTATTTATTGTATGTAATATCTAGCACAGCATTATTTTATGATTTTTGGGGGGTGGGGTTGCACTTTATGTTTTGGTGTTTGCAGCTGTTTCACTTTTGTTTCTTCAGATTTTAAGTGCCTTGCACATCTTTAGAGGCTTGCTTTGGTTTCTTATAACAAAAATAAATGCATTAGATATGAAGCTGCAAAACCGTTCACTTATTTCACAAATGAAAGCCAAGTGCTTCCTTGGGTTGACACAATAACAAATACCTAAGTTAAAACAAACCTTTTAAAGTCAAAACTACAAAACAAATATGTGTGCCTATTGAAGCAACATTTGTAAAGTTTACAATCACCTATCATCATGTAAAGAAGGTAATGGGAAATCAGTATCAAGTAATTAAACATAAAACTACACATTTTTAAATAAAAAAAAAAATAATGGATGAAGATGACAAAGTATGGACTACATCAACTTTGAAGATGATCTCTCATCCGTGTAAGCCCATAGTCTGATTGTACCTGTTAACAGGTAATGATGTTTTACAGGTGGACAGTATGAAAACATAACATCCTTGCAGTGGGTGGAAGTAGGTTTCAAAGTAATAGTGTTTGAAGGAATAATGCTGCCTCTGAGAATATGGCTAATAGCCATGCTTCTAATTAAGGAGAGAGTGAGTCACCCAATAACATTTAATATTATAGTCATAAAAGTATTGGCTGACTTTAGATAGGAACTACTTACAAATCAGTGCAGATTGACAAAAGGCCTTGGAAAAATGAAAATTTGATCCAGAATAACAGTTTTTGAAGTAGATAACATCTTGGATCCTATAATCTTTAGGTACTTAGAAAACACACAATCAAGCAATTTTTGTGAGTAAGATGTGCAGTTTCCAAAAGAACAGAGGGAGTTTTCCGGTGTTGGCTTTGATTTTTCCAGTGGTTTGGTTCAATGTAAGGTCAGCTTTATATTGGTGAAGCTTGGAAACCTGTGACATTGAAGTTCGCTGCTTTCCAAATTTAAAGACATCATTCTTAATTCATTCCTTGATCTCTACCATGTGTGTGGTAAACAGCTTCTACAGATCTCTTTCCAGGTCCTATATATCACCTTAATCGGGCAGCATGACCTTTTTTTGGAATGTCCCAATGTCTAAACCACCAGCATCAGATACAGAGCAGTAACTATAAGGAGTTGCACTATTTTCTAATTCTGTTGCTGCAAGAGTAGATGCCATATATCTTGAGATCTTGTGTGTTCAAAGACACATGGCATCTGGTTTTGTTTTTTGCCATTACCTAAGAGGGAAGAGGCAGTCAGTCACATTTTTTGGTGTAAAGGCACAATGTTTCAGAAATAGTACATATACTTTTTTCTTAAAAATAAATGTTCTACAAGGTAGTTCATAAATAAAATGCATAATTATCTGTGATACCTATATGTCATGAGTTACCTTCATTTTTCAGTTGCATAATTTAAGCCTAAAGTCAAACACATATTTTATCAAATCAAGATCCAAATATCTCTTCACTGACATTGTGCGGTATGCTATACCTATCTGGCAATGTTATTACAACTAAAAAAGCTGTTTCTGCAGCATTTTTAATCTTTTACTCCAAAATGTATTTCTAAAAGCTATCCCTTAATAATTTTAAACAGTTTCTGCTTTTCTGCTGTCATCGCATCTATGTTATGCTAGTCTTGCAGTGCAGAACCTAAAGTAATGGAATCCTTAACTTTGAATATCATACAGGCTCATTGAAAAATTCTTGTATGAATAAGATGCAGGCAATTTATTTTTATTAACCCTTTTCATGAAACACACTATGATATAATATGGGAATTGTGGGTGGAATCAACACTACAAAATAGGTACAAACAATGAAAATGCATAAGTCTGCTGCGAGTATGTGGTATACGCGTGGTAGTTAAATGAGCATTTTTTGGGGAGGGGGGTTTGTTAAACTTTTTTTAAAATTTATTTAATATTTGACTATTTGTAGCAGATAACTAGCAAGCAAAAACTGCTAGTCGCTACACAACTTCTCATACAGCACTTATTTTTTTTTTTTTTAACTCTTTGCCGTTGGCTGCTAGTGCACCAAGACGAGGCAGGTATACATTTTAGCTAGAAAGCAACAGGTGTTATTATTTTACTTTCTAGCTTTTAAACCAGGTATTTATCAATCTTTAATCCTTTGGCAGTTGCTGGTAACCAGTCATTAAATAGACTTCTTTCCAATGTTGGTAAGTTTCATAAACCATCTTTTAAGCATTTAAGTGGCTATCACTAACATTATGAAGTCAGCTGTTTCCAACCTTGTCACTATGTTTTGTTGGCTGCCACTAATCATCATCATTTAAAATATGTTGCTTCCTGGTGGAAATACACAAACAGGGTTATTCAATAAAGAGAAAACTCAAGGTGATATCAATGTGAATATCAAATTACAGGACAAACTAGCCAAACTGGAAGTACAATTGACTGGGATAATTTGTCAATTTAGGATATTTGGTCATTACATTTGAAATTAATTTTGAATTCACCTTGAATTCTAAATTTAGTGATTGACCCTGTAAGTTATCATCTGCCACCTCCCCATATATATCTTATAAAGAGAGATAATCAGTTCACACAAACAGAGCTGATAGACACACTCTATCAATACAAATGTTTAATAAAAACAAAATGGGGTCACATTGATCCCAATTATACTGGGTATAGGCCAGACAAACTGATCCTAACCCCATTCCTTACCCATGTGCAGCAGAGTGAATGGTTCTGCATTGATGCCCATGAGATGCCTAATCTAACATACATTAAGTTTAGTTTTAAGTTAAGGAAGTGGGCAGCCATCCAGTTAGAAATAGAAGAGAGGCAGTCAGAGTCACTAGTCAAGAGGGACGGGGGGAGATCAGGAGAGGATAGGTAGATTTGTGTGTCATCTGCATAGAAATGATACTGGAAGCCAAAGGAGCTAATGAGTTTACCAAGGGAGGCAGTATAGAGGGAGAACAGTAGGGGACCAAGAACTGAACCTTGGGGGACACCAACAGAGAGGAGTTGGGGAGAAGAAGCAGAGCCAGAGAAAGAAACACTGAAAGAGCGCTGGGAGAGGTAGGAGGAGCACCAGGAGAGAGCAATATCTTGTAGACCGATATTGCGGAGGATGAGAAGAAGCTGTTAATGATCAACAGTGTCAAGGAGAATTAGGATAGAGTAGTGACCACGAGATTTTGCAGTGAGTAGATCATTGGATACTTTGGTCAGTGCCGTTTCCACAGAGTGCTTAGCGCGCAAACCAGACTGAAGCGGGT